GACTTACTATTTATATGGATGAATTTATTGATGGCCTCCCAATGATGTAAATCAAAATTAACGATAAATTTTCATTTATGTGGATGAAGTTATCGATAGTTTTCTAATAATGTGTATCAAACTTGATGATAACTTCTCACTTATGTTGAAAAAGTCATCAAAAACTTCATAATGATGAGAATTAAAGTGGACAATTGCTATCTATTTTTATGAACAAAATCTATGGTAGCTATCTACTTGTGTGAACAAAGTCATTGATGCCTTCCTAATGATGCAAATCAAAGTTGATGATAACTCCCTATTTATATGGATAAAGTCATCGATGACCTCTCAATGATGTGAATTGAAGTGGATAATGGCTTCCTATTTGTATGGACAAAGTTATCAATACCTTCCCAATGATGTGAATTGAAGTAGATGGTAACTTCTTATTTATGTGGATGAAGTCATCAACGACCTCCCAATGATGTGAATTAAAGTGGATGGTGACTTCCTACCGATATGTAAAAATTCATCAACGACTTCCTAATGATGTGAATTAAATTCAATGATAGATTCCTATTTATATGGATGAAATCATTGATAACTTCCTAATAATGTGAATTAAAGTTAATGGTAGCTTTCTATTTGTATAGACAAAGTCATCGGTGACCTCCTAATAATGTGAATAGAAGTCAATGGTGGCTTTTTATTTATATAGATGAAGTTATCAATAGCTTTCTAATTATATGAATCAAATTTGTTGATGGATTCCTATTTATGTGTCATTGGTGGCCTCTCAAGTATTGTGAATTAAAATTGTCGGTGGCTTCTATCTATGTTATTATGGGCTCGTAATATTTGGTGATTCTCCTATTTATTGATATGGATTTGCGGTCGCTAGGGGCTAGTCAAATTTTAAATTTTTATTCTCATTTATCTTTAGAGTATAGGTATATGGCTTTGACTAGCGAAATCCATGAAATACTTGATCAATTGATTCACATAAGTTGAATTCACTCAAGTAAGCATAGCTTCATAATATAACAAGACCAAACTATAGTTTTTACAAGTATATAATGCAGTCTACCTCAAGTAAGATGTGGTGGAGATGATCTTAATCTTTTTCACTCGTGAATCGACCTTTTATCTATATATTTATGTAGACTAATTTTTTTTTAGGATTTCCTAGTTCACCCGATTTTTAGGTGACAACTCTATTCGTTCCCAAGCCTTTAGTCGACACACATAATTGGAAAGCATATGATGGTTTCAATCCACATAAATAGAAAGACTACCATGACTTCAACCTACCTTAATTTTGGAGATCGATGATGGCCTTAACCCATTACAAGATTTTGTTCAACAAACATGTACATGATACATTTGACCATATCAAAATACGAGTCTATCTTTAAGGCAAACACCGATCACTTCCACATGCATATATCACTTTGCACATCACATTTAAGGGAGAACAAGGCATCAACCTTCGATGCTAACACCGATTATTTCATCACACACACACACACACACTACATTCATATATCATTTAGGGGAATACGAGTGCTAACCATTAGGATAAACACCGATTATTTCACTATGTACACATCACATAAGGAAAAAAAAAGGCATGAACACCACATTTAATAAATCACATCACAATAGTCACATCACTCAAATGCGTATATCGGGACTAACTCCTAGATAAACAATTGAATTAAAACTCATGTCTAGTCTTCTTAACTCCATCACGAGCATTAAACACTATCCTTATTTCACCTTAAAAGTCCACTAGAGTCTTTGAACCTTTCGGGTTTGATACATAATGGCGTATCTTATTCAAATGTTAAATCTCATATATGCATCACAATAATGCATTCATTCATAATATTGATTTAAATATAAATACGGTGTAAAGGATGTGAAAGACTTACTTTATTGGTCAAAGTGATTGAATAATCTCTCTAGAAGTATCGAAAGAGTTTTTTATGTCAAAGATTAATTTTCCCCTTCTTCAACTCTCTAATGGAGACAAACTATATTGTCAACTGGAGAGATGGAAGGTTAAGCACTCCAAATCAATTCTTTCTTTATTTTTTGGACCACTTTCTTTAATCTTTGTTGGAGATAATTTGTATTGTCAATCGAAGAAAGAAAGCTAGTCGAGAGAGAGAGAGAGAGAGTATGAGGTTATATTTTTAGGGTTAGAATGTTAAGGAATTATTGTCCATAACCAATTAAACATAAGCAAATCAAAAGGAGTGGTCACTAGAGAAAAGGTCTGCTAAATAGTTTGCTTGTTGAAAATTACAACGAGTTATGACAAGTTGTTAAAGTAGAGCCCGGTTGAGAGGAGCGACTATCGAAAGAGAGGATGTTGTTGGTCCTTGATTGAGAGGAATGATCGGGCTGTTGGATAAGAGCTTAGTTAAGAGCAAGGGCTATTAGATAGTTTATCGAGAGAAATGGCTAGAAGGAGGAACTGTCGCTTGGACCTTAGTAAAGAGATTTAGAGGTTGTGGAAACAATTGGGGGGAGGGGGTTGGTGGGTTTAGAGGCCAAGAATAGAGTTGGACAATAGCGTTGGAGTTAGGAAGAAATGGAGGAGGAGAGGGTGTGGCAACTACGATCGTTGCTAGACAGATGGCGACAATAGTGACGATGAAGGTGAGGAGGAGCTATCGATGACTTCTTAGGCTTTTTCTTAGTTTTTGATTGAATTGTGGGAAGTTCTATTAGGGATCTTGTGTGACTTAGGTTTTGATGGCCGTGAATTATGAATGAGAGGTCTTTCGATGGTGGATGGTGGTGTTGGGTTTAGAGAAAATGATGAAGGCTTAGGGTTTCGGGAATGGGAGCTTCTCTTTCTAGGTTTCTCTTTAGAAAAGAAAAAAAATGAGTGCTTTTTTTATATGAAAGAGAATGTGATGCTTATATAGTGTGAGTGGTTAGAGTTTATGAGGAAACTCCTAACTTGCTTTTTTTCCTTTTATTTTTTAATTTCTCATCTCATTTTTTTATTTTATCCACAAACCTCATTTTCAATTGGGTTCTTTGTTAATTATACCCCTCAAGAAAATTTTTCTTAGTTTTAATTTCTTTTGTATTTTTAATTAGATCCAAAGTCCCAATTTTCTATTTGTCTCCCCTTTTTTTCTTTGCTTTTTCTTTCTTTTTTTCTTTTCCCTTTTTTTTTTAGTTAATTTTCTAAATTCTAAAAAAAATCATGTAATTTCTAAAAATCCTAACCCATGGATAAAAAAAATTGCACAATCTAGCAAATTAATATAAACAAAACAAATTTGATTTTTTTATTTTCATTTTGTTTTGAAAAACATGTAAAATAAAATGGTCAAAAAATGGGTGATAACGCTATGCGTAATATTCATTTAAATTAGGATTGAATGTGTGCCAAACTTTAGCGTTAATAAGATTTACATCAAATGGCGGATTATGCAAATGGTCTTGTGTGAGCATATTTTACCACGAGTTAATAATAATTTATATTTTTTTAAGAGGTTGATTTGGTGATTAATGACTTCTTTTTCTTTTCTTTTTTCTTTCTTTTCGTTGACTTTCTGGATTTAAAATTTGGAATCAATATTTATGAGAATTTTTTTAAATACATCAGTCTGATTTGGGGATTGCACCATTAAAATTACTCAGAAATGAACTTAGTATTTATTGAAGGTTATCAACCTTGGTAATTAAGTGGATTGTTTGTGAATTTTCTATATTACGTAGACTAATTAGTTGATTTCAATAAACTACTTAGTTATAATTAATTAACTCATTTCACCATTTGTGAGATTGGAACAATGACGGATTAATTAGTGACTCTTAATATAACTATCCTTTGCACTACTCAAATAAATTGCACCCTCGTTTTCAACTTCACTGAATTTTATGAAAAAGAAAAGCATTCACTAAAAAGATAATATAGAAAAAAAATGTTAATCACACATAAAATAAAAGAATAATATATAGCCTGGTCATTTGAACGCTTAATTTGTTAGTCAATAAGTTGTTTTCACACACAATTATAAGCATTTTAGAAGTTGAAATTGAATTATCAGTCATGATGGTTGCTAAGAATCATGGATCAATGGCTCATTTATACAGTATATTTTTCAGTAAAAAGAGTTCAATTGTGTCAAATTATCAACAGATTAAAAATAATTATAGATCAAATCAAAAGTTACTAATAATAAAAGGTATTTGATGTGGTTTCCTTTGATTAAATTCTAAAATGGAAACAATTTTCTTTCTGACGAGTTTAAATTGAAAATAATATAGCAATTTTGGTTAAAATTACAAAACTAGTAACAGTTGTAGTTAGTCAGAAAACCAATAGTAAAATCCTTTCGATTCAAAGGAAGAAGAGGAGGGACCATGGTTAGTTAAAGTAGTGATAAAGAAGCAACTAAGCTAACAAAAACCCAATTATTAAAAACTTACTTAAAATAGACATCCAAACAATCCCTTAATTCTCCACCCATCGATCTCCATGATTATACCAATTAAATTCAAAAGCTTCAAACTTCAATCTTCACCTCCCTCTCATCCTTCTTTGCCACTCCACAGCCACACCACCCCCTAACCACCTTTCCTTTTCTCCCTAACTAATCTCACACACAGATATATAAATATATATGTATAAATCTCCACTCTCTCGTCTGCTTCACCTATCATCCTATCTTTCTCTCTAAAACTGCTTTCTGTTTCTGTTACAGTTTCTCTAACTGTTTTTCCCTTCCCTTGGCGGGAAACTAATTTTTTTTGAAAGATTTTGCTTTCGTGTTATTTGCATCACTGCTCTCCCTATTCCCTACCAATCACGTGCATCGACGTGTTAATAAAAAAATCACCACTTTGAATCAAACGAACACGATCGATTCAAGCAAGTTATCTATAACGCTCTAGGAAGTACCAGATTTACTGATCCACTGCTACATATATATATAAATATATAAGCTGGAAAGAAGATTCTTTTTCTCTCTCTCTCTCTCGCTAAAGAAATGGAGAAAACACAATCACCACCGTCTGATTCAAAAACAGCGACGTCGCCAGCAGCTGCACAATCACCACCGTTTGATTATCACCAATCAAACGATCACGATCAGTTCGCTTCCAATTTCACCTCTCTCTACCACTCAATTTTCCCGCCAAAACATTCACAGCTTCCAAACTCGCTCTCTTTCACACCTTCCACCACCGCCTCCCCATCATCCTCCTCCGCCGATGAAATCACCACCGAGAACCGCCTCCGTCAAGCTCGACTGATTCTCGAGTACCAGGACCTCTGCGATCACTACAATCTCTCTCTCGCACGCCTCCAAACCCTAACTAATGAACTCGAGTTGATTCGGCAAGAGAATGCAGATCTCAGAGTCGCAAATAGTGAGCTTCTCAAGCTTATCAGTCTCTCTTCTCAGGCCGCCGTGATGCACCACCACAGTCGTGCTTTTGGAATCAATCGTGATGTTGCAACCGAGAGGAGGAATAATGACAATAATGTGGAGAGAGAGAGAGTGACATTGCCGAAGAGTATTTCCATCAGATCTAGCGGTTTTGTGAAGGTGAATCAAGCAGTTTCTGGTAATGCGAGTAACAATGGAGGCGGCCGCGGCGGTGCTAGTAGTAACTCGAGTCGGTCTCGTGTGGCGACTCAGCTCGATCAACTCGTGTCTGGATCGGTTAGTTGAAATCTCTTTGAAGTTTTGTTTAGCTTTCAAGTTTCCATTGCAATGCAAAGTAGCAAGTGTGCGGTGTGTTTTCGTGTTAGTTACTTTGTCCAGTTCGTCCGGTCAAGCTATTTAGAACTGAAATTATCAGTTTGACTCTGTCCAGTTCGTACGGTTCTCTTAAAACCCACGATTGTTTTCTCTTTCATTTTCTTAACTGGTGAAGTAAAATTTTTCAGTTAGCTCATCATAATAGCCTTAGATTTTATCCCATTGGTTCTCCATTTGGTCCAGAATGGATTTATAATATCGTTTCATGATAATATTATTTTAATGTCAAATAGTTTCTGTGAAGGAAAGAAAAAAAAAAAAAAGAGAGAGAGATTTATAGAGCAAAACGAGAGAGAGAAGGGCGGGGATTAAACGATTTATTTTTCACAAAAATATATATAATTAATTGAAAAATGGTAGATCTATTAAATATTAAATTATATATTGCATGTAATTTATGCTTAGTTTGTATAAATAGAGTTTATTAACTATGTGCAGAAAAATTATACACTGATGATTTAGTGGTTAATCAAAATCGTATATTTTATGCTCTTGATCCTTTTATTGGTCAAGGATTGGTTGTGCAGAATTTAATGCCAAAAGTATAAATTAATCAAATTATAATTTGATTGAAAAAGAAATTTGAGAATCACTTTATTCTTTTAGAGTCGAAATTTAATTCGATCATCTAAAGCATGCAAGTGTCCATGTAGTATATATATGCACAATTTCTTTTTCGTAACACCATAAGCACAAATAAAATTGGAGTTGAAGACAAATTTCTTGCATTAATTAAAATAAATATATATATTTTTTGGTTGTGATTGAAAAGGAGTTGTATATACTTTAGTGTATGCAGATGCAGCAGAAGGTGTATGTGCCAGGAGGAGGAGAAGGGAAGAGATCAGAGGAGGAAATAGCTGCTGGAATGGAGTTGGAGGTGTTTAATCAAGGGATGTGGAAGACAGAGCTATGCAACAAGTGGCAAGAGACAGGCACATGTCCTTACGGTAACCATTGCCAGTTTGCTCATGGCATTGGCGAGCTACGTCCAGTTATCAGGCACCCAAGGTACAAGACTCAAGCTTGCCGTATGGTTCTTTCTGGTGGAGTTTGTCCTTATGGTCACAGATGCCACTTTCGCCACTCTCTCACTGATCAAGACAGGTTACTGCTGGGCCCTCGTTGATCATCTAAAAAATGCATGGATTAATTTCAACTTTTGATTGATTGATTGAAAAAGGGAGTTGTAAAGATTAAGCAAATGGGGTTCTGTATATAAACCTAATCAGTAAACTTCACGCATCATATAATAGTAATAATAATAAGGAAAACAATATGTAATAATGAAATGTTGAAAAATATGTAGTAAATTGTATTTCATAAATTGGGGGCCGTGGGTAAGTTGTGAGCAAAGAGAAATTGGATTTTTTTTGTTTTTTTTTATTTTTCGTAGGAAATATTTCTCGTGGGGCTGGAGGGTTTGGTTTATGAACAACCAACCAAACCACCAACCAAAACTTAACCAAACTCCAAGTTCTGTAATGATGATCCTTTCGCTTTATGCAATAGTACGCTACGCAACTTTCAATTCAAGTTAGTTATGGTTTTCTTTGCTTTCTCTGTCAAATTAGTTATTTGCATAATATATACAAGCATTTAGATGTTGATATATGTACACGTTAAAATGTCATTGTTCCATGTTTGTCGACTGTGACATATGGTAGTTTGCTATAGACTAGCTAGTTGGACATGCGTTGTTTATTTTGGGTCAATCTGGAGCTGTTGCCTTAATCAAACCAACTACCATTACTGTCGGTGATGTATTGACGCCTAAATATTTATGAGTACGTTGTTTGAATGCTGATGGAGAGTTATGTATTAGTTAGATTTGGGATGCATCTGTTGATGCTTCATGTTTAAGCTTATAGTTGGAAGGGATCTCCTTAATTCTTATTTGTAGCACAAGGTACTTACCATTGATACAAAGGACTGGTTAAGTGCTTGAAAGAGCATTTGAATACTACCTGTACTGTTAGTCTGTGACATTGACCATGTATAGGACAAGATAAGATTTAACTGAATAATAGGAGAGGAGAGGAATCCTTATTAATGTCTTGGAAGTGAAGAAAAATAAACATCAAGAGCAAATATCACCCTCTCCTTGTATGGTTTTGAACCAAATGTATTGGATGATGACAGAGCTTCATGGAGGCGGAGGATGCATCCTCGTCCTCCACTTTTATGGAGGTCGCCTAACCTTCATCTCTCTCCACTATCGAAAACAATTTTCGATAATACATATCGATTTTCGGATCTTTATTGGAGGTCTACATAATTTTTTTCAGCACCAATTTACATTAAATAAAATAAACCCATTAACTATAAGATAGTAGCCCACTGTCAATAGCGCGGCCATTGATAAGATAAGAGGCAGTTAACCACCACCACACCCCCCCCCCCCCCCACCCCCACATATATATATATCCTCACAAAAAACAAAAAAAACTTTAATTAAAATCGATTCGTATGCCGGTGTCACATGGGTATTATGCACCAATAACTAATTAACCGATCAAATACGCAGACTTCAAAATTTCTAAAACATAATTACCTAAATCTCTTTGGCTCTCACCTCTCTTCCTCTTTTGTAATTGATTCTAATGTTGTTTATCTTCTCCAATTCTTGTAATACCTTTTTATTTAATCTAATTATTTAATTTATTTTTCTTATTTATATTGTTGTCTTCTTTTTTTTTTTTTATTTGCCTATTTATTAAGCATTGTTTTTGTCCCCTTGTCTTGAGTAAAGAAAAAACATCAAGTATTGTTTTTTTTTTTTCCTTTCGCCACTATGAGTGCCTAACCTTTATGTTTATTTTTTATGAAATGTTTCTTCTTCATTATTCTTATTATTATGATTGGGTAATTGTTGCATCTATGATTTATCAAAAACATATGTTAAGACTAATTTATAGATTGTATACTATAAATTAGTGATAACATAAATTTTTCTAAAAGAATTTTATTTCATGATTGAGTTAATTGAATAAAATTATAGAACTCATACTTGTTTTAAGGAAATTATATAACCTATATTGTTACTATTGGGTGGAATTTACAAATATAATATATATTTGATAACCATTATTGATTCTCTCTCTTTTTTTTTCCTTTCTTTTTTAGTTACAAAAATGTACTTTTAGAGAAAAACTATGTCCGAATTGTTGCCACTTGTTCAAAACCAAGACGAGTCATGATGAAGAGTGTCACAATTTGAAAAAAAGTTCTTATGAAGTTGATCATCCATTAGATCCTGCATTGCAAAAACCAATTATGGATTATCATCCTAACATAAGGGATGAAGTTTGAAGAGCATATCTATAAAAAAAAGACCTTGTCAACCTCATGAACATAATTTTAAACAAAATCTACAAGGAAATGTATTAAGAAGATTTAATCCATCTTAGTTTGATGAACATCGCACATGGTTAGAATATAATAAGGTGAAGGAAGTAGCATATTGCTTATGTAGTTACCTCTTTAAATTAGATAGTAAAGAGCATGAGGGTAGCGGTGATGCCTTTGTTGTGGAAGGTTTTAGCAATTGGAAGAAAAAAGTAAAGTTACAAGCTCATTTTGGAGGTTTTAATAGTATACACAATCAGGCTTCTCATAATTGCCAAGCTTGGATGAATCAACAACAACATCTACAAACAATTGTCAATAAGCAATCAAGACAAGCTCGAAGTGACTATCGGGTTCGTTTAAATACTTTAATTGATCTGTGTTCGATTTCTTTTAAGATAAGATTTAGCTTTTTGTTATCATGATGAATCAAATGATTCGGTTAATCTAGGAGATTTCAAGGCAACTTTAAAACTTCTTTGTGTTCATAACGAGGATATCAAAAGAGTTGCAATAGATAAGTGTCCCGAAAATCTTAAATTGACATCTTCGGATATTCAAAAAATATATGATGAGTGCTTGTGCAATTGAAATCACCAATTTTATCATTCAAGACCTTAGGAATGCTTTATTATCTATTCTAATGGATGAAGCTCGTGATGTGTCAACTAAAGAACAAATGACAATTGTTATACACTAGGTGAACAAGGAAGGCAAAGTCGTTGAATGTCTTTTAGGTATTATGCATGTTGAAAACACTAGTGCCTTTTCATTAAAGGCTGCAATAAAAGCAATATTTGCTAAGCATAACTTAAGCATGTCAAGACTACATGGTCAAGGCTATGATGGGGCATGCAATATGCAAGGTGAGTTTAATGGTATTAAATCTTTAATATTAAACAAGATGGAAGTGCTTTTTATGTTCATTGTTTTGCACATTAACTTCAATTAGCACTTGTAGTCGTTGCAAAAAATCACATGTCCATTGCCTTACTCTTTAGTTTAGTTTTAAGTGTTGTAAATGTTGTTGGGGGATCTTGTAAGCACCATGATATGCTTTTAGAGTTTCAAGCTATTAAAGTTTTAAAGATAATTGAAAATGATGAACTTGAAAGTGGGTAAGGAAAAAATAAGATTCTACTCTTAAATAGGTCGGAGAGATACGATGGGGTTCACATTACACTACTTTGATTAGCTTGATTAAGATGTTTTCTTCTATAGTATGCCTTTGAATTCGTTATAGAAAATGGAAAGTCCGACCAAAAGTTAAAGCTTGCACTTTATTGGATTCCTTGCAATCCTTTGATATTTAATTTTGCCTTCATTTGATGAAACACATATTAGGAATCACTCATGAATTATCACAAAACATTGCATAGAAAAGATCAAGATATTATGAATGTTATGGCCTTAGTTAAGATAGATAAGCAACACTTGCAATTAATACAACATAATGGATGGAATTCGTTATTAAATTGGGTATCTTTATTTTGTACTAGCCATAATATACAAGTCCTTAATATGGAAGATACACATATTGCTAGGGGAAGGTCTTGAAGTAATGCGAAAAAGTGACAAACATGCATCATTACAAGGTTGAGTAATTTTATGCGGTTATAGATTGGCAACTTCAAAAGCATAATAATCGATTTGATGAGGTTAACACAAAGTTGCTTTTATGCTTTGCATGCTTGAGCCCCGTTAATTCATTATCTACTTATGATAAATAAATTTACTTCGTATTGCTCAATTTTATCTTCTTGATTTCTCCGTTATCCAACTCATTGCTCTTGAAAATCGAGTTGGAAACATATATCATTGATATGAAGTCTAGTTGTGATTTTTCTAACATGAAAGAAATAGGTGATCTTACTAAAAAAAAAAATGGTATCGACAAGAAAGAATATTTTGTACTCATTGGTTCATAGACTCATCACTTTAGCCCTTATTCTACTAGTTGCAACCATAACAATTGAGAGAGCATTTTCTACAATGAAATTTGTAAAGAATCAATTACGTAACAAGATGAAAGATTTATGGATATCCGATTGTTTGATTACATCTATTGAAAATGATATATTTAACGCTATTGATAATGAAGTTATCATATGTCGTTACCAAGGCTTGAAGAATCATAAAGAACAATTTTAATTTTTTTCTTTTTATTAAAGAATGTTTATGAATACTTTTTGTTTGAAATATTAACTATTTAGCTACTTTATTTATGTTAGTATGAATTGCATTAGTTTTTTTTATGCATATGACTATTATATTTTGTCCTCCTTAATTTCGAATCCTAGATTCACTACTCGCTCGTTGGTAAGTAAGCGTCGATTTATAGGTTAGATATGGGATTCGATCTTTATGGCCAACACTCTTGAAAATTTATTCTCGGAATATCCGAAGTTATGCACGGAGACTTGTCTTTTATTCATGTTTAGAAAGAAATTAGTTTCAAAGTGTGCGAAAACTAGCATAAAGACACCTACCTTACTTGCTGAAAATGAAAAATATATATATATAATCCACACACACACACATATATATATATATAAAACAAAAGTACTCGACCACCAAGTAGTTTAATGGTTATTATTACTACTCGATATCGAATAGAACTTTCAAAAAAATTTAAAAATTTAAGGTGTATCTTTATGAATTATTTATGATTTTTGGAGATATGAGTTATTATTAGATTTGAGAGTCACCACCTAGTATTGTATGAACTAAAAACCTAAAAATGGCACATGTCTAGAGATTATAAAATAAGGAGTTGGTTAC